TCCTCTTCCCCTGTCTCTTGTAGCTAACAAAGTGAGAAAGAGCCTGTGGCCTAGGGGCTAATACTTCTGCTTAACATGCAGACAGCCCAGGTTCGAATCTCGGAAGGGTATGTCTGGCTGATGAAAACCAAATAAGGTTAGAAATAGCTATCCCAGTACTCCCTTAATTCTTTGTTAGCAATCCAAATTTTGAAAAACATATTTGATAATGAATATGCAAATGCAGAATAGCTATCTCCGTGTAGCTGTAGAATTAATTCTGAAGGGATCATTTTTTAAGTTATTCAGTGATCTGTTGCTCAGTGCAGGAATGCAAAACTACATTCAGAATTATGTGTAGGTATAGCTAAAAAAATTAGAAATATTACCACTGGTTTAAGATTTGTGTTGCATCAGATGCAATCAACAGCTTTCTGCGTTTTCTATTGCTTCTGCAAATCACTGATGGCCACAAAAAGCATTAATACATGCCTATGATGGGGGGGGGGGCTAAAGACTCAAGTTTGCTGTACTGGTGAAGATGCTGGCTTAGAAACCAGATGGTAAATTTTAGACCTCCCTCTGGCATGAAAGTTGGCTGGGTGATTTTGGGCCAGTTGCTGTCTCTCAGTTTAACCCACCTAATGGGGTGGTTGTTGTTGAGGGAAAAATAGGAAGCAGGAAGATAAACTATATTCACGTTTAGTTTTTCACACACACACACGCACACACACTAATATTAATAGCTTGAGTGATCTTGCCTACAGAATTTCAATCCTATGAAGATTTAGTTTTTAAGCAGTCTTCACTTCAGACTATTCATTGAGGTTTGCTGCACAAAAATAGCAATTTGTCCAAAATTTATTTAGAAAACTTTTTCCCCCTCTGACAATTAGTAATTCCCACTGGAACAGAGAGTGACAAAACAAGCCTCTTAAATAAGAAATAGAAGGGAATGCAGTCCAGAGAGTAGAAAGTCAAAGAGCAAGTCCCATCTTTCAAGTGATCGGGCTGTCTTAAAAGCTTTTGGCTGATAATCCTGGCAAAGCTCAAAAATAAGACATATTTTGCTCCTCCTTCAGTTGCAAGATTAGCAACCTGTTGCTAGAATTTCTGGTTTTGACAAAACAAATGCCTAGTTTGTACACTGCACTGTACACTCAACTACATGACCCCCAAATGATTTTGGCCAGTTTTTAAATGCAACTACATCTGGTAATTGTTTGCTTTTGTTCTTTCAAACGGTATTTTTGAGGAAAATTTAAACAAATCAGAGAAAACATTTGAGAGGTTATTTGAATGAGGAACCGGTCATGGAAGAAATAATATTCGATGAAATGTAGAAAGGTTACCCAAGAGCCTGGTTTTATGTCATTACATAAATTTGGGGATTATTCCTGCTGACTGTAAATATGTCTAGCCTATTTAAGTTGAGATCCCTTAGAAATAAGCTATTCCAAATTTAGTAGAACCTGCTTCTAAAGGCGTAATTTGGAATTGCGCTGTCAAATGCAGGAAGTTATACTGAACTATATGTTTTGCTACATATATCTAACTCAGACATGTCAAACTCGCGACATCACGTGACGTCGCACAACGTATCGGGTTGTTTTTGCCATTGCCGGCAATGGGTGGGTGCGGGTTCCGGATGATGCATCTGGCCCACGGGCCGGCAGTTTGACACCCCAATCTAAACAAACTTAAAATTACATTTAAAAAATCATGATAGTAGAGTTTTATGCCAATGGGAGTAGAACAAGACTGAAGATCTATTACTTAATTGTACATCCTTCTCTCATTAAATATGTTAGACCTTGTAAATAAGGCACTCTTTTTCAGTCTGGCTACTGTACTTTGCTACAGCAGCAATAATAAAACACTTAACACAGATTCTACTATATTCCTAAAACTGTAATATAATAAATAAATTAAAAATGTTTTTTCTTTAAATTCATTACAACAGAGAGATACACAGTGATAAAAATGTTGAAGATTACATAAATATCAGCCAAGATCATTGGAAAGAAAATGAAAATGGTATTTGTTATACAGCCATCTGTAAATTCTACATGTATACATCTTCTCCCATGGGGAGATTTGCATATATGGTATGTCAAAGAAGGAGCTGTCAGAGAAGCTCTTTATTTAGTGGAGTTGCCTGTCCATTTGGAACATGCATGGAATATTCATTAATTAAAGCTGATGTATTTTTAAGCATTTCGTGGAACATGTCCATAGTTTTTCTGTAAGTACTTCGTTCCAATACAAAGGGGCGGAAAAGGTTCAGTGGTTCTGCCTTTTGGAACTCCACTGGAACACCCAGTTCCTGTGGCAGATTTCTATTTCCAATGAAAAAGTGGTAAAGCCTTTTTTCTTGCAAGCTTTTCTCCAAAAAGTTGAGTACATCTTGCAGCCTGGCCTCCAGACAGTCAGAAGCCCATGCTGAACTAGGATGGATTTGT